GGAAAAATAATAAATAATGTAGGTCCATCTTTCAACATAGAAAATAAAATAATGCTCTCTAATTTTTAGAACTGGACTCATCCATCAGTTTCTCAATATCGATCGTCAACTAACTCTGGGTACGAATGCAAGATCTCTATATGATTGAGTCGATTTTGCAGCACCGTCGAACGCAGGTAATTTTTTACCCGGAGTTACCCCGAGAATATTCTCCCGTTCGAGCACCATGATTTTGGAATGGTCATATCATAAGCAGATGAATAAAGAGCAAAAACTCGGGAACAAGACCCGTACACAACTCATTTTCGCACATAAAATCTACGACCTCCCTCAAATTCACAGGATTTATTCCTTTTATTTTGAGGTTGCTCAAGACTATGTCCTTAACTCTCTCTAGTCGATACGCATTGAAATCGAAGTTTTAATATTGAATGTTTTTGGTCAGTTTCGGAAATATTTTTTTCCACCAGGTGGTTATAAATGTGTTAAATTAAATTTTTTTCCAAATTTTGTCAAAATTCCAGATAGATATTTACCCGCCTGGAACATTTCCGTTTTGGTAGTTCTGTCCACCGTACCAACCTCTTCCGCCGGCCCCGACTCTGGTAAATTCGATTGATAAATCACCGTATTGAGACTGCTTCTTCTCCGTACCCACAAAGCAATGAATATGCGCTTCTAGCATGCAAGCAAAACCGTCAACGTTATAGTAGCGCATTAATTTATTACCCTAGGTTATCGTTTTAACATTCAGACGAGTTTTAGTTGGTCACATTCATATAAAAATTGTAGTTATTTTTGAGAAAATGTTCAACATTTCGTTAGAGTTATGTATAACAGCCTAACAATTAAAATATTTTTTTAAAATACGAACGTCCGTGCAAACAGCCAAATAGATGGTGGATTATCAATTTCGGCGATAATCCTGTAAACGGTTCAGGAGCTAGTTGCTAGGCGGACTGACAAAATGCCAAAAACTTACTTTTTGGTGACAAAGGTTTTTAAGGAAAGTCATTTACTATTTATCTGAGAAACAAAAATCGGGGGCAGTTCAGAATTAGGGACTCAAGAAACGACTTTTTCTACTACAAAATCAGGACTTTTTGCTGTTGATATTCAATACTTTATGCTACGTAAGTAGGAAGAGTTATATATTGTTAATATTATAAATAATGTTGAAAATCATCATTAGTACTTCTTTTTGTTTACTAGTACTTACTATTAATTTTTACATTGTTATTTTTATGTTGGTAGCAAACGAGAGTAGCAATTCCGTTCAAATTTTATCATACGTGCTGTAAGGATAATGTTCAAACTCTAGGCGCCCCTACATTAAAGTTCAGGTGCGGATTGCAATGTATGTAACTTAGTATTAGCAATAAACCAACTCAGGTTTTCGTCCATGTTGAAGCAATGCTTATCCTTGCGAGGCAGTCGATCCATCTTCCTTCGTAGCTTGTAATACACCTACAAAATAAGATGAGCAACGTGCCGTGACAAGAAAATTGGTAACTTCGAAGTATAATTTTCCCTATCGCTGGTTTACTAATTTCAGTAATAAAAGAGAGAAAAAAAAGTAAACACAAACTGCCGACCTCGGTGGCGACGGAGCATCCTCCAAGTAAGCTCAATGAAAGGCTGCGAGTTCGCAACCCGTAATTCACTATGTGTTGGTAAGCAAGGTATGTTGCATATATCAACACACGTGAACAAATGCATGTTCGTATTTACCATCTTTCACACTTAGTGGTAACCATTCCACCCTTCTCTTTACACGGTCGAAGAAAGAGACGATTACAGCAGTTGCCTTTAGATTGATTGAGTTATTGTTTAGTGATTCCGGGCACGTCAACTACCATGGTCATTAGTCTCGTAAGTGAAGTGCATGTTTTCTGCTCGGAAGATGGCGGTCATCTATTCCACGTTGTATGGCGAGATCCGACGCCGACCAACCGTCGGCTAGACGGGTTTTCCCCAACCACGTATTTCCCACCAGCGATGCACCGCCCCAGCCGGAACAAGCTATATGCTCCCGACCGCTCTCCCGACATGTGTGGTAGTGTAGTGAATGATAATGTGTGTGTGTGTGTAAGGAGTGAGAACAGAACAAAGAATAGGAAGGTGAGATCGCGCGTGTCCGCGGTCCGTTTTTTAGGGTTCGCCATTGACCTGGTGTTGATCGGAAAATACACGGAAAACTACCGATCAGAGCAGCCTGCCTCTAGAATTCTCGTGCTGACAGAGACTGAATTCGACCGTCGCAACTCGAACCTAGAGCCTCCCCGTCGGTGGGACTACACTGACATCAGTTGATGCCCTTATCCATCTCCCCCGGTTTACCTTTCGATTGATTTCGGGCGCGTAAACGGCTAATGTATTTAGTCCTGAAAGTAGTGCTGGTTTTTTGCTCAGGGGGTAGCTGTGATCTTCCCTCGTTGAATGGTGACATGCGGCCCCGACTGTGGGCTAGCGGGGTTTTCCCTCAACCAGGTATCTCCCACCAGTTGGTACTGCCCCAACCGGGACAAGATCTAAGCTCCCCCACCTGTCTCCTGGCATGTGTGGTAGTGATGAGCAAATAAGTGTAAGTATATGTAAGTAAGGGTTAGGATAGGATAAGTAGAGGAAGGAAAGATCGCGCGTGGCTCATTGCGCATTTGTTAGGGTATTGATCGGAGTAACTACGGAAAATCGCCGATCAGAGCAGCCGGCCTCTATAATTCTCCTCCAGGCAGAACTCGTCCAAGTTATCAAGCAAGAGTCGACGACCCTGCTACCGTCGGGATTTGAAATCTAGAACCACCCGGTCAGAGGTAATGCAGTGACTTCAGTTGATACCCTGAGCCACCTTTCCCGGTTTACCTTTCGAGGGAAGGAGGACTTACAAAAATACTATGGTGTTTAATCGACTAGGTTAAAAAGATAGCATGGTGTTTATCATGCGTGTACAAATTATTGTTGTTACGTGATCACATTGATTATCCCGAGTTCTAAAGATTGGCAGTAAGAAAAACACTAGTTTCGCGTCCCCATGTTTGAGACATTTTGCACTAAGAATTTCGGACCGACGACAATACCAGGCTGAGAATTACTGTAGAAGTTAGTTTTCCTTGTTTCAATCTTTCTAAATTCTAAGTGGTTATTTTTTGGTCTGTTTGGTCTATTTTTTGGGCTGTACTATGAAATTTACGAGGTTCAACTACACCGACGTATTCATTCCCTTTCTGCACTTTGCGTGTTCTTGCGCCTTTCTTCTTCCCCAACGCCCCGCGTCCCCCAACACACGATCCCCGACACCCCTGAGCCCCGTACTGCTCCGGCCTTCTCGCTCCCCAACGGCGCAGCCGCTGTCTCTGCCTGTGTTGTTGCCCCGCCTTCGCCCCACCGCCCTACCCTCTCGGACCCAAAGACGCCTCCAGTGTATGGTCCTCAGTTCTTGTCTCAGCCCCGCATCCTTGCCAACTTTACGCCAGCGCCCCGCGCCGGCGCCAGCCAGGGCCGCGGCGGCGCCTTCCGCCG